TATAATCTATTATTTATCCTATATTTTATCATAATATTATTATATTCATTATTAAAATGAATGACTTAATATTATAAATTTAATTATTAAATAAAATATAACTTAAAGAAGCAAGTATTTAAATTGAATTGTATCACGTTATATATTGGCAGTGTATGGCGGAGTCTTGCACAGAACTGAAATATTGTGAGAAAGTTTTTTACATCTGTGGTATATAATTATCACATGAAAATAAGGATAAATTTAAAAAGAAATTAAAAAAATAAATTGGCAAAATTGCACCAAATAAATTATAATTCAATTCCATGACTAATTTCATCAATAATTTAGAATTATTTCTATTTTGATAAATGTCAAAGACCTGCTATGGGTAATTGCAGTTCTCTTAACCAATAAATTAAAGAGGATATTATTTTTGTATAACTTCTACTACTTTAAATAAAGATTATAGTAAATAACTTTCTATTTATCATTACATTATACCTCATGTCTCTTTACGCCATCTAATAACAAATATCAAAGTAATTTCATATCTCATATACTAAAATATTGATATGTTAGTTATGAGATTAGAGATTAGATACTGTAATATCGTTGACTTTATATGAGTAATAATGCAAACTAACATATTTTATCGATACGCAGTATATTATTTAATCAGTATATAAATTTGTTATACTTACACCTGCAAATTTTCCATATAACTTAGATAGACTTTCAGTATACTTTTTTTTATTGTCCGAAACATAAGCATAGTACGCACTTCAACTCCAAATTAGGGAATATTAAATTCTAGGATCTTATGTAACTATCAAAATTTCATTTTTGTTATGATATCACGCGTATTTAATTTATTTAAGCAAGAGTTGAACTGATTTTTTTGGTAATGTATACATATGATAAAAACTTTATACTAAAACCATTGCTGAACTATATATCAAAAATAAATTTAGCTTGAATAAAAATTTTAATAAATTTATTTTAATTAACAATAATAAAAGCTTTAATAGTATGGGAATATTACACAATATCATATAATCTTTAATTATATGGTTTATAGGGAGTTAGGGAGTAAATCATATTAACTATGTACTATAAGCCACAATTATATCATTAAATCAATTAATATTACTAGTTTAGGTTAAATAACTTATAAATTAAATTGTGACTCATAGATAATCTTGATTTTTTTTACCTATTTTATTATTAGTCACTATGTATCTATGTATTCAAAGGGTTTTAAAAAATATATAAATACCCTTAATTTCCTCAAGGAAAAAATCAAAAACCAAATTTCAATATTATTTTCAAATCTTACAAATCTTACAAAACTTTTACAATCACCCAAATTTCAATTCAATTTTTTAACTTGTAATTACAAAATGTCTTATCATTTGTGTCCAAATATTATCAATACTATTTTAAGTGAATTTCCTATCAACAAATGTTACAATAATCCTCAACCTATTATTGAAACTTCTCAACATTATTTACCATTACTTACCGGATTTTTTTACATTCTTTTTATAATTCTCCTCATATATACCAACATTCTCAATAATACAATTGTCCTAATTTTTCGCTTATTGAAATTCATGTGCACTATAATCTTATCTCTCAACCAACTCCCTTCTCTTCCTTCATATCTATTTAATATATTTTATTCTTTTAAACATTTATTATTATCCTCAATTCTTTTTCATATTTTATTTATATTATTATCTATTCTTCTTCATTTTCTTTATTTACTCAATTGCGTAATTCAGATTCTCATCTTTTCTTATTCTCTACTTTATAAAACAACCTATTTAGTGAATATTACTCTCCTTTTAATCTCCCAATAGCTTAATTAAATAAACTTATATTACGTAGCTTGGCCCATTGCTTACCAAATATAGCATGTAGACGTAATCTTTCCCCTTTGGTCAACTTGGGATTACTTGACCATTCTTAGATAGATAATTTTTACAAGGGGATCATTTGCATCGCCCATGAAGCATTGCTAATTGGTGTCAGAGAGATCCTTTGTCTTGTAAAAATTTACCCTTTCTTGATCATTTGACCATTCTTAGATAGATAAATTTTATAAGGGGATCGTTTGCATCGCCCATGAAGCATTGCACTGTGCTAATTGGTGTCAGAGAGATCCTTTGTCTTGTAAAATTTACCTTTCTTGATCATTTGATCTATCTCATGTGATTTCCTTCTTCACATGTGATACCCTTTATTTCATTCCTTTGTTGAGTTCTTTCCTTAATAACTTATCAACTCAACAAAATCCATCACCGTTGGTTCCACAATTTCTGTGTCCAAGTTCAATTCTTGGAGGTGATTTTTTTATTAATATTAGTTTATCTTCTTTTTTTCTTCTTCTTTTATAGGGAGTTTCAGACGAAATTACAAACTAGATTCTAGGTAGAAAATAATTTTTTGTTTTTCTTAGTAATATTTTTAACACTACTTATTTTCTGCTTTACCTCTTGAACAAGATTATTTTTTTTCCGTGTTAAAGCAGGTGTTTTCGCAAGGCATTACGCAAGGTTGTTATAGTTAGAAATAATTTGATAGGCAGTAGGATCATTTTGTATCAATGATTCTTTTGCAGTTAATGTCGAAACAAGTTGTTTTCTTATTAATTATTTTTCTTTCTCGGCCATTTCCATCCTCTTGAAATGATATAATTTGCTGCAGAATATTTTTTAATGTCAAATCGGCCACCAATAAGCCATCAATCGGACATCTGATAACCGATTGATTCAATTGAATGGCTGATTGATAGTTGATTTCCGCCAAAATATGTCACAAGTCGGATAGCTGATTGATTTCACCATTCATCCTTTCATCCTAACTCCTAAATATCACATACAAGATTATTTTATTTTTTTTAGGTTTGTGTTTATAATGTACATGTCTTATTTATTTTTTTCTTAGTTGATAATTAATAATAGTGCAATGAAAAAATTGAAATCAACGAATATGAAAAATTTCAGGTAAATATTTGGTAATTTAATACTTGTCATTTTTCTTTTTATTAGTTGACAAAATTCTTCACAAATATGGAGAACGATAATTCAATATAACCATATGAGCTCGAAACACTTTTACGTTAGGGTCATTACCAACTTCAATCATAATATCATAATATTCTTTATCCAAAATTTCAAAGTAAATTTTTGTGATAATTTCGTAAAAATTTATTTTTTCCTTTTCGGTATTTTTTTCTAAATTTTTTTCGAGGTTTCCTTTTTTTATCTCCTTTTTATTGAAAAGAAATCTTTTTTTGGTTTGGTTTTTTTTACCAAACTGAATTTTTCAAATTTTTTTTTTTTTTTTTGTTTCTTTTCGAAAATTTTTTTTTACAAATATTTTAACCTTTCTCTTTTCGGTTTGGTCGATCCAAACCTAAATGGTAAAATAATGGAAAAAAAATTTTTTTTCGATTTAAAAAAAAAAAGCCAGACCGAAAAAAGAAAGGGAAATTTTTTTTTTTAGTTTTGAAAAAAAGTGTGATCAGATCGACGCTACGGTGCCACCACCATCATACCTGCTTTATCAAGAACTACTTTATATTATTGTATTAAGGTATTCAGTAGTATCTGATACGTTGTTTATTTAAAATAGATTCAATTGAAAATGACTATAAAGAAAATTGACTTTTCATCAATTAGGTTAAGATTTAAAAAATACAAGTCAATAGTCTATTAAATGACAATCATTGATTTTGTTTTTGAATATGGTATTAATCGACAATATAATCAAAGGGTAAGCTCTTAAGTAAATAAGATTTCTTTTATAATGCAACTAATTAATTTACTAATTTGTTAATTTTTATCTTTAGATGGATTTTAAATTGACTTTATAAGTCAAACCAATATTATGTTATATTCGAATTGTTATCATTTATTTATACTTTATTTTAAGTTATTTAAACACTAGGATTAGAGTAGTTAAAATGTTTTGCAAGATTCTTAGTTTGTAATTTAAATAATTATATAATAAAGTTCATTATTAAAATTATTAAATGTATAAATTATCAATAAAAAATTTTTAACCGCTACAATAATAATTCGAATTTAGGCGAAAATAATAATATTATGAAATAAATTTTACATTATTGAATAATATATAATCTTTTGTTCAATCCCAAAACTATCTGTCAGATGATCTTTGTCGTTATTTATTCTTTATATCTTATATATATATATATATATAATGACAGATCGAGCATGAGGTTCAGATAATAATCCCTAAAGCAGCAACATTTCAATTTTCCATATGATGAATTTATTTTAGAATTTTAATCTACCCCTAACTAAAAATTGTCAAGACATAAGGGATAAGGCTTATGGTTATATTGAAAAGGAGTACTATTACAAAGTTGCGTTTACTTATTGTGAATTGTGATACAGGAATATGGATGTCTCAAAAAAATTTTTCATTCTTTCTTTTTATTTTTACTAAATTTTATTCATTTCTTTAGATGGATTTTAATTTTTATAAATTATATAAATTATCTAGAAACCATTTATCATAAAAGAGTTGCACAATTACGATAAATTTTGATGTCGATGCACAATTTAATACATCCTAATGCTCACAATTCACAAATGTATAATTCATATTAGAAAACAAACTTAAATAAGATATAAAATACATAATTTGATATTCCTTTTAATAGATCCATTTACCATTTTTTTTTTGATAGCGTATTTGATAATTTTTTTTTTAATACTATATTATCCATTATTATCTATTTGATAGTTTTTATAACTGACAATCCATATGAAATATATCTTTAAAACTCTTATTTAAATCTCTATACTTTTAAATAATTTTCGTGATCGCCATCGTGATCACACACACCTTTTTTGCGCCCTATTGAAAATGTTACACCGCACAAATTGTTTACAAATTGTGCGACAATACCGGATATTAATTTGAAACAATAGTTAAAAAATGATACAATAATACTTCCTCCTCTTTCTCTCTTCGCTTATAATATGTCATATTCAAAAATATTTTCAGTTTTACCTGAATTAACATATGATGTTATAAAATATTTTAGAAATGATCTTTCAACTTTATATTCATGTATTTTAGTTAACAGATTATGGTGTCGTTTAGCAATTCCATTATTATGGGAAAATCCATTTTCAATTCCTAAACAAAATTATAACTTTATTGGAATTTATTTATGTAATTTAAATGATGAATTAAAAGCAAAATTAAATGAATATAAAATTGATGATAATTTATTTCCTTCAAATACACTTTTTAATTATCCCATTTTTTTAAAATATTTGGATACACAAAATATTATTTCTTCTATTGAAGGATGGTCTAAAGATATTATTAGAATCTTAAAGATTGAATATAATTTAGTAATTAAATTTAAGAGATTAATTTATACATCATTATTTAAAATATTTATTGAAAATGAAGTAAACATACATACTATTAATATTCACGTCAACCATTATTATATAGATGATGTGTTTGGATTAATGTTACAAACCCCTGATTTCTTTCATAATATTAGAAATTTAAAATTCCATTTTATTGGTCCTTCACTTGCTCATACTCCTAAAAATAGCGGTATATCACAAACGATCAATTTACATCAAAATCTTAAAAAAATTACATTGCAAGGTTATTTTTGTTTTCCTTTGTATCAGTTATCAAGTAATCATAATCATTCAAATACTTTAAATACAATCATCTTATTTAAAATCAATTTTATAGGTATAACAAATTTAGACAAAGTATTTGAACAATTAAATGTTTTAGAATCTGTTCATATCATTTATTGTATTTTAGATACTTATTTTATTCGACAAATAGTTAATTTAACTAAACCATTTAAGTTAAAATCTATATTCTTAGATAGAAAATTACAAATTAATGAATCATTACAATTATTATTACAAAAGTATGGTGATTACTTGGAAAATTTTGGATATAGATTTGATTCTGATTCGTTCTCTGAGAAACGATTATTTGAATTAATTATAAAATATTGTAAAAATATCAAATTTCTTGATTTGATTGTACTTAATAATTGGATTATTTATCAGTTACTCAATTTAACTGAAGATGCAAAACAAAATCTTAATTATCTTTCTATCAATGTCATTAACACTTTATCTTCAAGTTTTATTGAAAGTGTTATTGCATTTAGTTCAACAATATTACGAAATTTAGGTCAAATACTTCCTTTTAAATTAGAATATTTAAATTTAGCTCTTATTATTAAATATATGGATGATTTTGAAATATTCTTAAAAAATTCTCAAAATACTTTTATTAAAAAATTGTTAATCACAAATAGGAAAATGAATGATGAGAAATGTCAAGTTATTCATGATTCTATTCTATTCTATACAAAAGAATATATTATGAAAAAAAAAAGAGTCAAATATTTGGCTATTGTTAATTACTTTAGTAGTACTGTTAATAATGATTTATTTTCATTTAAAGATGAAGTGAAGGAATTTGAGTTATATAATATTAAAATTCAAAAATATAAAGATTTGGTTATTGATAATAAATTAAATTTTATAGAAGAATTGGAGGATTTTTAATATCAAGACTTAAGAATTTAATATAAATTTTTAGAAAATTTTGTAAAATTTTATAAATAAACTGAAGTTAATTCTTTAAATTTTGATAATTATATATTATTTTTCTGCACGTGTATCTAAAACTATACGTCACATCACGAAAATAAATTTATTTTTTTAATCAAAAAAAAAAAAATTCGTCAATATTTCTTCTTTCCACTCTCCAATTTATTGGAAAAAAATTTCTTATGCAAAGGATTTATAATTTTTTTGTTCGTAAAAAAATTTTACTCCCTTCCTAAATCCTTAATTAATAATACATTTATAATTATATAACAGGTTATGAAATTGATATAGAAATCAATATTCAAAATATAAATAATAAATATATAATAGTAAATGATGAAATATATTGTTTTCTAGCCAATTAACGTTAATACCCTATCCGTAATTTTAACTTGCAACAGTGTAACACCCAATAAATAAAGAGAAGCAAAGTTTATAAAAAGTGTCATTGTTAACTGAGCCTATTTAGCATCGTCCGAAATTTTGAGTTTTATTAAATAATTCTCCATGTATATAATCTGAAATAACAACATTTATGTAAATTAAAGATAATAACATTTATATTATTATTGAAAAATTTCAGCGAGCAAATTAAATGTGCAAAGGTGCAATCATTTTCTTTTAGTTGAAAAGTTAGGAAACGTTAGTTTAGAATAAATGAATTTATATTTGCACGGTTTTTTGTGCCAAACCGAGGTGTATATTAATTTTTCATTTAACCTAATTTTTATTTATTTTTATTTATTTTATTTTACTTTATTTTTTGAACTCTTATTTATAATAAGTTTAGCCTACAAATATTGATACTTTAAAAAATACTATGAAGAAATAAATATCAATAAATCGAGATTAACATACATATTAAATATGAACCAATTTTTATTACCGAGATAGATTTTATGAAATAGTAGATTAAACAATATTTAATAATTTAACTTTTAATTTAGACAGTTTTGTTTTGTTTTGTTTATAGAATATATAAAATATTCAGCTTGGTAAATTTTTATGAATATATATAATTACATACTTACAGTGATGGGAAATGATCAAGTCATTTGATAATTTTAAAATTCCCTCTGAATAACCTTCGAAATTTGAATGATAAGTCTTAAATTGATGATAAATATAAGTTTAAGCATATATAATCTTACAAGAAGTTTAATTCTACTGTACTGCATTAGACGATTTTGTGGTAGCCCTTCCTTTCTTCCGCTGACGTCACCTCATAGGTGTACAAGAGGACCCCGGAAACTTCATATAAAGGTTGCCAGTGAACTGAGTAAAGTTATTATAAAAATCAAAAATTGTGGGTAAAATGGGCAATGATCTTATGATTCAGATTTCGGTTATTACTATAATGGGTAACGATTATATATCTATATTTTAAGGGGGTATTTTATATATATTATATAAACGTTAAAAATGATTGAAAAAAATTTATTTTTTGATTTTATTTTAAAAAATGCAAGCCAAAAGTTCCAAAAATAATTCTACTTTACCAAGTTTAGAATAATTTTACCCAATAATGAATATGATTCTGATGATTTTAATTTTCTAGGATATGATTAGTTAAAAAGTTAGATGAAATAAATACGAAACAAAATTGAAGTGATAATTAATAAAAAAATGTGAAAAGGTAATGATGCTATAGTTGATGATAAAAAAGACGATATTATAATTGAAGGTAAAGTTGATGTTATAGTTGAAGATGATGTTATAGTTGAAGATGTTGAAGATGTTGAAGATAATATTATAATTGATGATACAAATATTAATTTACAGAAAAGAAAGAGAAAACGTAGTAAAAAAATCATATTACAAACAGTCATATGCTAAAAAATATTTTATAGAAGAAATAACTCCAGAATTGGTCCGTTGGAAATGTGGTAAAGAAATCCGTTTAAAAATCTTACAACGTATGTTGAATTGAGCAATTGTAAGTATAGTAACGAAGGACAGCTAAGTATTAAAGTTTTTTAAAACCTATCAAAAATGTTGCATGTAAGGGTTTATTTGAGGATAAATATCGATATTATGTGCTTAATAGTCCAGCCGAATTTGGAGAATCAATCAGACCTGATATAGCCACAAAAGAGTTATTTCCAGAAATTGTTAAAAAGTCTTCAACAATATTTGGTTAATTTCTATAATAATTAATAATAAAATCAGGTTATAAAAACCAAAACAGGGTATTTTTATTTGGGTATCACTTATAGGAAAGATTTAAGGTTACTAGTAAACTGGGTAATTTTATTAGTAAATTTTCGGCTTAACTTGGGTAAAGATCATAGTAAATTTTTAAATTTTTGAAACAACCTATATATATAGTTTCCGGGGTCCTTGTACAAAAGAGCTTATTTTGTAAGAATTTTCCAGAAGTTGGATTATTTAATGAGATCAAAGTGAAGCTTTGAATTTTGAGTAATTCCCAGCTACTATAGTTATGTGTATCACGTGTTAGAACATGATCAAGATGACAAGATCTCAATTATTCATTTTCTGTCTACAAAATTTTCTTTCAGTAAATGTTACCTGATTCCGTTGAAAATTTATGATAGAGGAAGATAAAATCGTGCACATTTTACGTGCATTTTATTTTTATCGTGTGTCAGTATAATTTATTTATTTTATATATATTATTAGTGCAGTATTCATTTTAATATGTGAATGATTAACGATTTATCGATGTCAAAATTGATTTATGTCAAATTTGACACTTACTATATTTTATTATAGGGGGTTACAGCACGATTTCCCAACATCCATTTTCCCGACGTAACCTTTTCCCGACGACAGGACAAAAATACAAAATCCCGAATGGATATCGTCAGAATCACGTGTAATAAATCATGTGCAATGAATCACATGCAGACTGGCAATCTAGTGCTTCGATCCGGATGGGTTTTTAACGGATCAATCCGCGGTTTACTACGGTTTGGCAACGGTTTATTTGAGTTGGAGCTATAAGTTTGGTCAAAATTAATAAAATTTGTAGAAGAATAATTTTTATAAATCTGACAAAAATTATAGTTTGACAAAAATAATAGAAAAATGTTGTGATGCTAATCAACGGATCAATCCGGATCGAAGCACTACTGGTAATCTTCTAATCAGGAGTACATTATTTAGTGCCAGGACTGTTCTTTCAAGTTCATTATTTGCCCCAGGCTGATGTTTATGAAAATAGGATAATGCACCTTCTAGAACTGCAATAATCATATCCTCTAAAACTATTTCGAAGTTACAAGAATGAGAAATGCTCTAAGATGAATTGGATAATTAACCGAATCTGGTTTTGTTTCGTAAGTGATAGGCTTGACATGGTCAAGGTAACGTCGCTCGTGGAAAAAAACGTAGATCAGAAAGCACATAACTGAGTATACAAATTATGTAATATAAAGTTTATGTAAACTATTATGACGTAATAAATAATACATTACTAGTATAAATAATTGCTGCTAACAAGTCTAGCTTCTTGCTTCTCAGATTTTACAAACATTTATAGAGGCGGCTTTGTCTATAAAATATTTTTTAATAATATTTAACGTTAATCATGGATGAAGCTATTGAATTACGTATGTATCATAATACACGTTTTAAATCTACTAATAACATGATCATTCACTGTAGTAGAAGATGATCTAAAAATTGACCAAGAAAACGGTGGAGTAGGAACAATTGATCAAGAAAACGATCGTGGAGTAGTAAAAGATTTAATAAAAGGTTCATCTGTATTTCTTCGAAATTTACCGGAAGAATTACAAGATATTTACGACGATTTGGCCCCAGAGGCGAATATTTATTTTAATAGCATTAAAAGTAACGAAGAAAAGACAAATTATCTCAAAAGAAATGAATAAATAAAACGTATTAGCTAATATTAGTAAATGTATTATTATGAAAACTGCTTTTATTAATTTCATTTATTTTCTTTTTAACATCTAAATAAAGTGTGAGAAAGAAAAAAAAAAATAATGAATGATAATAAAAAATATATGTATATTTATATAATTGAAAATTTCTTTGACGTTTAGATTACTCTTAACGCGAATCGATTTTTTTTTTTTCGGTTTTTCTTATGTGTTTTTTTTCTTTTTTTTCTTACAAATTTTCTTTTTTCGGTCTTTTTTAATAAGACATAAATCAGACAAAATGGTGCTTTTTTAGACGTATTTACACATGAACACAAAAATAAAATGAATTTTACACATTTCATTTTTATAGATTGATACTTCTATCTATATTATTGATGGTAAATATCATATGAAAAGGGAGACTTTTTTGATGATCTAATGTATAATATATTTACATATCAAAAAAAGTATATATAATCTGAAAAAAGTCCTAGGCAAATTTCATGAAATAATCAACTATTCACTTTTCTCAACATGAAACTTTCCATTCCTTTAACCATTGTTACTATAATTTGCATTATAGCGCTTGAACAAATTGAAGCATTTAATTCTACTTTCGGTGTATTTGTGTTTTTAGCTTCATGTAAAGTTTGGGCTACAGATAATTTGGGTTATACCGTAATGGATACCGGATGGTTGAATTGCGAACAAGATGATCCAAATTTTACATTTCATTCTCGAGATATAACAGCTAATCCATACAGACTTCACGCAAAGGTTATGGGCAGCCTGAGAAAAACAAAAAGTAGAGGACCATTTACCTCAGATACCTGTTTTAAATTTTCTGGAACTGTTGCTAAGTGGTCTTTTGACCAACAAGACTCGTCATTTTGCCAGCACCCTACTTAAAACTATTTGTATTTAGTTAGCTTTATTTGCTTTATATTCTTTAAGAAGACCTTTTTTTTTATAAAAATTATTATCCTAATCAAAACAAATAGCAAAATTAATTGAATATTTACGTTTATCTTTGATTATTTCAACTAATGAAAAATTACTATTTAGTTTATTAATTAACTTTGTTTGTATGTTATAGTTTTATTATTTTATTTTTAATTTCTAATACAATATTTATATTTAATTATTTTAATTATTTTCATAACAAATTATTAATAACAAATCTTAAGCATGGAAAAGCTGCAAATAGTTTTTATTGACAATAAACGCACTTTTTAGAATTCAATTTTTCGGAATTCAAAAAAATTTTCAATACTGCAAAAAAATTGATAAATTTTGGTACTCTTCTATTACCATTTTTTTTTTATTTAAGTATTAATAAATGTAAATAAATTGTAAACTTATTATATTTTTGTAGTTCAGGAATTGATAAATTAAAATATTTAAACATGAATAAATATAATGAACTAATTTATAATTTACTTTTATATATTGTTAATGTTTTGTTAAAACGTGAATTATCAATAGCTTGGTTTCAGAGAACTTCGTTTTTATGAACTAGCCTCCTGAGTTCCATTAAAAATCATATTTCCAGTTTTTCCGCCATTTTGAAAAAAAAAGATTTTATTTGATCAATTTTAGACTACTTTTTGCAACGCAGATCAACACGTGTAATTTTAGCACTGTAAATTCAAAATTCAATATTAAAATTACTATCTATACCAAAATTAATTTTTAATACTCTAATTATGTTCCTATACTTATGGTATCGAATTCTATCAACGTAGTCATACATTTAATTTTGAGCTAATGTCATAATTTTGTATAGCCAATGTCGTATCAAAATCTTTTAAGGCAAATATATTAAGAATTAGCCTAGTCTTTTATAGAATATTTATTTTAAAGCATATTAAACCACATAATTATTTGTAATAAGTCGAATGCTTTTTAAAATCAAATAATTAAAATGGCAGTAATGCGTGCGAAATTTTCAATTTTAAAAAAATACATAAACATATGTTGGTAGGGGGATTTTATCTCAACTACGGAGATGTCTTGGCGAAATTGTGAAAATTATCTAATTTACTTAATTTATTTTCGCCCCTTTTTTTACATTTGACATAGAATCACGATCTAATTTATTCCTTTCTCGAACAAAGAAAAATGGAAATCTCGACGATCAGAATCCCATTATGATAATGAAAATTCATAATCTCGAAATTTCAAAATCCAGAAACTCATTATTATCCCGTCACTTAATATTCTCGTGAATAAAAAAATGATTATTAAATTCTAATCAGCAAAAAAAATTATATCTTTATATGCAAAACATTACATTTTTATTTAATATAAGAAATTTTTTTTTTTTTAGCTATTAAAGCTATTAACATTAATAAATTAAATTTGCGAAGTATGATTATTATTAAAATAAAAACGTTAATTTTTGCGAAATATTTTAAAAAATCATTATTATATTTGATTTAATAGAAATAATAATCGTTATAAAGTATTACAAAATTATTACGTCTAAAAAAAAATCCATTAAGCTGAAGATGTAAAAATAAAAAAAAAAAAAAGATAATGAGTGTCAGGATTTGAACTTTCGAAATTATGATTTGACAAGGGTTGTGAGCGTCGGGCTTGTGATTATAACGGGATTCTGATCGTTGGGATTTTGAGCTCTCCATTTCACAAAATTCACCGATAACACAGTACGTGACAATTAATCACCTGGCCCACATTACGACATAACTCTGGCCTACATCACGCCGCGTGTTGTAAGTAAAGTAAGCCGGACCTAATCTCGATAGTGTTAAGCCAGTTCTTAAATGCTTATAAAAATAAGCGTGTATGTATATGGTAAGCAGAAGGTATAATAATTAAAATAAATATTAATAAGTGTTAACAAACGCGTAGTGAAATAAACTATATAGAAACACTAATAAGTGTATCACTGTCGATCAATTTACGAAGGTGACACGAACAAATAAATGTAAATTCACTTGTAATTTCAATCAAATGCGAATACGGTAATGCACACACTGGCATATACACTCGGACGCAAATATTGATTCACAATAGAACAAAACCTAAGATAAAACAATGAGATAATTCTTTTTAATAAATGCTTTATTAAATTCAAGACACATTATCTGTTTTTACATTGACTTGGAACACATATATTTATAACAAAAAAAATTCATGCTAATCATGTTTAATATATTAAATATGAGCTATATGTTAAACAACCTAGAGAATCACATTGAAGTAACCAGTGCAAGCACTGATTCAACCTCTCCATACCAGGCGCTTCGGCCTACCGCTCGGTCAACCCACGACACCCTTGAAATACTACACAACTACAAAGAAGATAACTATCTGTCTGTAACTTAAATATACCTATCTACACTATACAATGTCTATATTAAGTGAAACTACTACTTCTTTTTAACTAATCTACGTCTACCTCCTCTGCCTCGTCCACGACTACCTGGTTTACCTCCTCTTTTGTTGTTCGATTCTATACTTACCACCACTTGATCTTCTTCATCTTCATCACTATCACTTTCTATCCCTTCTTCTTCCATTATACGGTCACCTTGTTTCTTTCGTAAACGTTTCCGTTGTTCTGCAGCTTCTTTTGCTTCTTTTAAGACCTTCTTGTAAGTATCGAACGTCCCATCTAGTCGCGCTATATACTCTGGAGTAAAAATTGGTTCTTTCTTTTTTTTATCTAGCCTCTTGCTACATGTTTCATTTATTGATTCATACTCGTGTAATTCTATTGGTGATACCTGTTTAACACTTTCAGTGGGTTTTGTTACTTGCTCTTTATTTTGAGCTTCGCCCACTTGTTTTTGTAGCGCATCACGTTTTACCCTTGCTTCCTCCAGCTTTTTCTTTCTATCTTTTAAATCCGCAACTAGCACGGCATATCCATTTCTACATCGGTCAATCCATTTTTCATCATCTTTTTCATCTTGTGACAATTCTTTGTTTATTTCAGCTCGTAAATCCAAAACGATGTCTACAACTTTTTCTGGCGTGGCATAATCTTTTAATGGTGTTGACGCAATGTTTTGTGGAAATTCATCTAAAAAATTTTTCCTATATCTATTTATTACGTCAACCATCTCGTCTGTACTAACGTTATCTATATTTGTTGATGACATGGCCATAGCTTGTTGTTTTATTGCAGGCGTTGCTTTTCCATTATTTCTTGGCTTTGTGCTGACCAAATCAATACCTGAGTCCCTTTTTGAGATCTCTGCCGGTTGTTTGCCCAAACCCTTACCATGAATAATCCAAGTATTGTCTGTTCCTTTGTCTAATGCCATAGCTGCGTCCAACTGATCTTTGTCTTTAAAGTATGCAAGAAATACTGAATTTTTTCCAAAACGCGCCATTTTGCCGTACTCAAAAGAGTAATTTTTTCTAGCTATGTCTTTATAATAACTTGAATGAATTATTTTGTATGCCTTCCACTTACATTTTTCTTTTATAGATTTAACCGTACTTTGTCCTGGAAACCAACGAACTTGTATCGCAGTTTGTCTTTTTTCACTATTTCCAATTAAAAGTTGTACCTTCCATGTATCTCTAACAAATTTACTGTCGTATTCCTCGAATAAATTAATTTCAGCTCTTACCGATTGGTATTTGTAGTGTTTTTTAATTCTTATCCTATTTACATTTCCTATATTTTTAATTGCTGAAACAACTTCGCTTTCACTATACCGCGCTGGTATATCGTAAAACATTATGTCACGTGATGTTGCACATACACCCCTTGAATTTTTTACGATCGGCTGTTGATCAACTGATTCAGGTAGTGCAATTTCCTTAACTACTTCTTTACCACGTTCTTTCTTTTTTCCACTTTTTCTTTGTCCGTTCTGTCTTTTGATAGGTTCTTTAAACTTACTATCTGTTGCTTTTTTTGGTACTTCTTCATGTGGCGGATTTTTTTGCTGCGCCTGGCGCAGCCATGAACAAAGCCTAGTATTTTGTTTTCCTATCTGTTTAACGTCGTTATCATATTCTCTATATGCATATCTCAAGCAACTTCTTAACAGTAGGTCCACTATCTCTCCCTTTATTCCCTTATATCTACTATTACGTTGTGTGTTCGCAGCGTTCGGAAAAAAATTTTATCAAGCTCGTCTTGTAACTTTTCTGACGACCTTGTTTCTGCGTTTTTGAAATTTTTCTTCACCAAAGTGCTGACTTTCCTTAGTATTTTTGTGTCGAACTTGTCCTGTTGTAGGTATGACTCCATTTTCTTGACTTTTTAAGAGTATTTTTATTAGAAAACGAAGTATTTTTTATATTTTTTCTTCCTGTGAATTTTGGTCTGAATGATCGTCCGGAAGAGTTCCTCCTCTTTTAGATATATAGTTTGCTATATGTTAAACATGTTAAATATGTTGCATATGTTAAACATATTGAACATTCGTAACATTTGCAACATTCGTATTATTTCGTAACATGATCGTCGGTCACAAGATCATTCAATTAAACACATTGATCACGTGATTATTCGATTAACAATAGCTATTTTAGATTTACAAAATTGTATCGAATCGTATTTAAGATCACCATTTAATTTTTACTTTAAAAGAGAAAAATGAAAAATGGCCTTAAATATAGTATCTAAAATTAAAGCATGAATTTAAGCCTTCATTAAATTATTATGAAAAAATTATATAACCAACTTTGATTTGCACTTTCAACATTTCTAATGTTTTAAGTACTACTATAAAGTTCTAAATCTTTTTAATTGTTGTTCTTTAGAATCCCATTCACTATATATTCCATTAATCCAGTCTGCTGTATAAATTTCGGAGAATCCACCTTTTGTCAAATAATTAATATTTTTCAAATAGTTATATGGAATCCATTCAACTATCATTGCTGGACTAAGTGATTCATAACCTTTAGTTATTTTTCTTACTGCTTCAGTTTTTTCATCATTTGTAAGAATTTTATCAGCAAGGACTGTTGTTTTTTAAATTCAAAATGTTTGTGTATCTCATTGTAAATATTAGTATCAATTAACATTGTTGCTCTATTAACTGTTGCATAAATTAATTCATATTGAAGAGTGGACATAATGTAATTTATAAATTAAGGGAAGAGAAAGAATTATTTTAAGTTCGTTACTCCGATTATGAAAATTACTTTTATTAATTTGATACAACATTTCTTTACAGAAACATGTCAAACCAAGACGAAGTCGTGGCCAAGCATGAACAACTTGTGAACAATCAGGGAAAGAGTTAATCACGTGTTAGTCATATGTTTGTCTTGAGTTAGTCACGGCTTCGTCACAGTTTTAGTTACTGGATGGATATTAAGACGATATTCAATAAATCGCAATATCGTCAATAACGACTTATGTAATAGATTTTAGCATCATCATAACTAATTATGTAAATAAAATTTAATAAATCATTGAATGGCATAATAGATTATAGAGTCTTTTTAATGACATCATAACCACATTCACACGTCAAATGATTAAAAATAGGCAAAAAAAATGGTGCAAATCGCATAAACTATTCGCAAATTTGTATAAACTATTTACAAATAGTATAGGTTAATTCGTAAATAGCCAAAAACAGCCAAGAATAGCCAAGAATAGCCAAGAATAGCCAAGAATAGCCACTGCTTTTCGCGCCATTTTTTTTGCCGATTTTTAGCATTTCGACCTGTGATTGTAGACACGTATAGAATGTATCTTAATTATGTCATAACAGCATTTATAATCACGTTGCAGCCACTTATATAATAAATCGTAGTGAAATTGTTATTCATGTATAAACTGAGTATTAGATAACTCAAATTACCGTCAATTTATTTGCTTGTAATAATTAATTGTAAAATGTAAAATCAATACCATCAGGAAATTTTTTTGGAAGATAAATATCGATAATTATCACTTTATTGATAATTATCACATTTTATCGTACTAAATAAATCGATAATTAATGTATTATGATGATCATCAATAAACAACTGGAAAAATATAATGATATTTAACATTAATGATATTTATTGATAATTATCTGAAAGATATTTAAGTCATGATCCGTGAAAGATCGACACAAAATTACTATTAAATTTTGGGGTAAAAATTTGTCGATCATTTATTAAATAAAAATAACTGCTATCATTCGCAATAAGGCAAGTATTACTAAAACAAATTCACAGCTCAACCAGATCACATGACAAGCTGCGCAATAATGTAAAATATGGTTTGACAAAAAAAATTTCATTTAACCGACTTGACGAAAAATTTTTTCTTTGTAGCAGCTGTAGATTTTAGAGG